GACAGATCTCCACTGCATTTCCCACACCCTGATCTTCCCAGATCTTGGAAGAGGGTGCAGCGCAAACCTGGACACGCACCTGGGCTTCACGGAAAGTGACAACCTCTGGCCTTGCTCTATATCACACCGATAAACACCAGCTTCCTCACTTGGAAACTGCCCAGGTAGTTTCATAGTTTACGCAGAATAGAGCCTTCCACTCACCCATCTCTTGGGAAAACATCCTTGTAACACCACCCTTTCCATTCCACCTTCTGCCGCCCTGCGATTTTGCATCCTCTTTGGGTAAATGAATCAGGAATCTGTGGCTCGGGCAGCATCCGCCGGACTTACTAGTTCTACTTCTAAGTTACCCCGAGAGGAAACAGATCCCCCCTCACCCATTTTTTAAGTGCATTTCATCGGTTTATTAATCTGTGCAGTTATTTATGAAATAACTTATCATCAAGCCACCTTAGTTATGCCATCTTCCTAAAGCATCCTGGCCCATGTTAGTGTGAACATTGTTAAAAAAAATAATTATACGCACACACACACACATATAATGTACATATGTAATTTTTGCATTCCAGATTTCTCACTGTTAGGGTCTATTTAAAGCTTTTGAAAGAGACCCAGTCTTTTCTAGAAAATGTGTGAAAATAGATTAGGGACTGTTTTGTCATCTGCTGAATATTTTTCTCTTTCTCAGCTTTAATTCTGACCAATGTTCAAAGACCCCCTAAACAGCCATTGAACACATGTTATTGTTAACAGTTCTGTTTGGTTGTAAATGGCCGGGGGCTGGTCCTCCCTCCCCTAGAAAGTCTTCCTCATGGATAGTATCTTGTGATTCAGCTAAGGAGGGGAAAACAGTTTTTCATTGTTAGCACTTTACTTAATGTAGATGAACATTTTCTGGCTGCTGTATTGTTAGCCAGTGATGGACTCCATATTCTCATTTGGATTTGAGCAAATCCAGGGGCCTGATTCTGGTGCTACAGTTTTTCCCTTACATTTCTTGCCTCCTGTTATTTTGCATGTACTAAAATATAAATCTGTTTATTGAGCACCTGCCTGAACCTGGTGCATCCATAAGTCCCATTGAATTTCATCCTCACCATAACCCTGTACGTTTGGATTTATCATTGGTTTTCTTCAGGTGAGGACCCAAGACACAGAGAATGCAGCTCATTTGTCCTAGGCCACTCAGCAAGTGAGGGGGGAAGCTGAAATCAAGCACAGGTTTTTACCTCTAACTTCAGCATTTGCCTAACTAAGCTACATACACTACTGGTAGTATGTGAAATGTTTTTAGGTGGTAGCTTAGTAAATATAATAGATTTAATTTAATAGGCATTTTAAGAGCATATTAGAAAATTACTATTTTTTGGTTTAAGATAGATATGTTAAAATTAATTTTAAGATAAAAATTTTTATCAGGGATATATTTTTTAAAAATATTAATTCAGTGGTTGCATGAGATATATATATACATATACATACACAAATTATATATGTATATCTGCATGTGTGTAGATAGATATGCAAACAGATATTTTACATATTAATAGCATGTATACATATGTATGTGTATATACACATACATATATATATATATATAAAATGAACAAAGACAATGAGAAAGAGCAAAGACTATATATTTAGAGTTTATGATAGCAGGGGAGCCAGCCACTGTCACTTGCTTTTTTGGCAGAGACTCAAAGACAGACAGAGGAGAGGGAAAGCATCATAGTAGAAAAAAGGGAAGGCTTCAGGTGTGCCCTGACTAGAAGCTGTTAACATGGGGACTCTGCAGGTGGGCCAGCTAGGAGCAAACAGGCAATGTGATTGGTTAAGGGTGTATATTTGGCATTTTCTGGTGGGTTCTGAGTAGGAAGTATGAATGAAGATTAGAGAAGGTGTCAGTTATTAATGAAGGCCTGGTCAATTTGGTCTGGCTGTTATAGAAGTTAGTTATTGTTTAGCTTCCTGAATTGTCACTAGAGATAGAGAGATCTGGCTTCCTACAAGTCTGACTTATAGCAGGTTGCCTTCCTAGGTTGTTTTTTGTAGATAAGGGGTTGGTTTCCTGGGCAGGTTGCTGCAGGTTGTGGAGCAGAGTTCTACTTTTATATATGGTCTGGCCATTATCCACTAGTATATTTAGTCTCTGTCTCTGTCTCTGTCTCTCTCTCTCCCTCTCTCTCTCTCTTTGTGTGTGTATATGTATATAGATAGAGGTAGATAGATATATAGATATTTTTTCTATACTAATGGCTTAGCCTGACTCAATTGCATGTTAGTGAATAGGTAGTAGTAGCCTTAATATGATTATCCAAGGGAGCTATTCTGCATCTCCTACATGTGGACAAGAAGTCCACAAGAGAATAGGACAAGTCCTAATCAAAATTGAAGTTTCTGGTTCTGAGGCAGAGGAAACAGACCTCAGACTTTTCCTGCTTCTACTGATGACACATGCCGTCACTATCTGCAAATAGTTTTATATCTCTGAGCCCTTCCTATGTCTCTGAAATAAAAATTCTAACACCTATCAGTTAACTAAATGACGATAATAACACACACATGCATTGGGGAGTACCTCCCAAGTGCTCACCCTCTTCGGGGAAAGCGTCTCTATGAATTCTTTAATTATGCATTTATCTCACAGTTATAGAGTCTCCATTGAATGGCCAAGTTTGCATAGGATATGGATCAGATTTGGACACAATCCCTTCTTGTTGTAATTTGGGTTTGCTAATCAATGAGATGTAGAAAGTATTGATGTGGCCCGGAAGTTACAGACTGTATACGTGGTTCTGAGAGGAGAATCTCACAGCAGATCTGAACTTGATACTGTAGATTTGCCAGGCCCGGTTCAGAGTAACCCAACCTGGGGCTAGAGAGAAGCCTCTAAGTTTAGTGCTTCCTCCATTCATTCAACAAGCATGCAAATCACTCATTCTGCCTGCCAGGCCCCAGCACTGGACTCGCAGATGAGCGAGACAGGATGCATGACTTCAAGGAGTGTACAGAGAGGCAAATGTTCAATAACACAACTACCTAGTTTCCCCTCTAATCAGGTGTCCACAAATTTCCCTGCATCCAGTGCACCCATGTTACTCATACTCCCTCTTAGTGTTGGATGCCCAAATGTCACAGCAGAGAAATTCTCACTTTGCTGAGTGACAGACAATAGCTTAGGAAATGAATGCAGCTGATTCAGACCTTTTTTCTAGCTCCCGAATATTCCTAGAAGCTCCCCACAAACATCACTTTCCTTTCATTCTCTTGGGGCTTTAGACTGTCTAGGAACTAACTGGCCTTTGGCACAATGCTATTGGCAGAGCAACTGGGTAGTTTCAGTTAGGATGAGATAAGGAGACCTTCACCATGAGTAGGTTTGATGTGAGCTTTCTTGAAGTTCTTTTCATCTGTTAAAGTAATTAGCTTCACAATTTCGGTTTGCTAATTCATGTACTATGGAAACATTTGTGTGCAATAATTTTGCCCTTTTTTGTCTTTATTTTCAGTTGGATGATTTGAACTTTAGAGAGTTCTGGGGAAAATTTTTTTCAAAAAATTGATGTTAATTCTTATTGACTCAGTTTAATTAAGAATGCTAATAAATTTAATATAGAAATTTTAAAAAGGCAGAGGAAACAAGGATTCTATATAGGAAGTGGATATTATTTCAGCCAAGAGTACCTCCTGATCATGGAGAAGGTTGGGCACAGAATTTTAAAGGTCATAGACAAAATACGCTGACCCTCATTTGCTACTGAGGACTATCTGTCCATTTGCTCTAATTATCAGTGTGAATAATTAAAAATGACTCTGACTTAACTTGTATTTATTGTGTGCCTTTTTACAGATCTTTGTAGTCACCTTTGTGGCAGGCCATAAAAAAAAGATTAGGTTCATCGATTTATTTCCAAGTTTGCAAAAAGTCAAGTGTGCATATACTCAGGGTACATAGGGAGAATTTTATTAGCAGTTTAAAAATATTATGGAGACTAAATATGTAAATTTCCAGAGGATATAGTTTGTGAATAAGGAAGTCTAGGGTTTGTCAACTTTAGCTAGTATTCAATGCTGAATTTTCTCTCTAACTTCTCTGTCAAGTGACTTGAACTTGGGCTTGCATTCCTTGACAGAGTTTCCCATTTCTTAGATCAGCCCAATCTGTCTTTAGACTGCTCCTGTGCTTAGAAAATTCTTCCTTGTTTTAAGAAGAATCTTACCTCTTGATGGCTTATACCCATCCAATAAGAAAATGATTTCAAACATCTTGTTTTTTTGCTGGAATGTGATAATTCCTTAGCAAATGTTAATTACAATTAGCACTACTCTTATTGTCTTAGACATAGTAGAAGAAAAATAGTATTACATACATATAAGAACATTCATATGTCTTCATGATGTATATGGTTAAAGCTGCTTAAATAAGTTAATGGAGATTGGACAAATTCAATACCCACTTGCCCTAAATGAGTTCGGTGTGGGTGGTTGCCATGATGCTAGTAGATCAGAGCTGGTCTCTATCTCTCAACACAGAGATTTCAGTTTGAATCCAGGTGTGTTAGTCAGGGTTCAACCAAAGAAACAGAACTAGTAAGAGATAAATATTAGGAGAATAATTTTAAGGAATTAACTTATATGATTGTGGGGGTTGGCTTGGCAAATCCAAACATTATTGGGAAATCCCATGGGAAATGGCAGGCCGGAACCCTCAGGTATGAGCTGACACAGAAGGCCACAGGTGGAATTTCTTCTTCCTCAGGGAAGCCTCAGCTCTGCTTTTAAGGTCTTTCAACTGATTGAATTAGTGCCTTCTCCTCAAATTATCTAAAATGATCTTCCTTATTTGAAGTCAACTGATTATGGACTTTAATTGCATTTACAAAATACTTCCCACAACACCTAGATTAGTGTTTGATTGGATTACTGGAGATTAGGACCTGGCCAATGAACACATCATACCAGGGTCCACCATGGACTCTACATGATCATCAATGAGCTATTGAAACACTCTGAGTTTAATTTTCCTCATCTGTTAAAGAGGGATTACAATAGTTGACATTTAACAAATTACAAGAAGATAAATATTTAAACTGGCTTTTGATTATGCTTACAATAATCTCTAGGAGCTGTATCTGGTTGCTTTTTGCTTCAAGTTGTTTTGTGTCATTGGATTTCAGCACCTTCATCTGTAAAATGAGAACAATAATATTTACCCAATAATGTTGTTAGAAGTGAAGGAGAGATTGAATTTTAAATTACTGGCAAATTACATATTAGATGATCATACATAACACATAATTACAGAATAACAACCAACACTTAACGAACATTTCCTCTGGGTCAGACACTGATATAAATGCATTACCTGCATTACCTCATTTAAGAGCTATAAGAAATATTAGTAATATCAATAATATAAATACAAATATAATAAGTTCAGTGGAGAAAATTTCACTAAAACCTTCACGAGCCAGGAATGAGAAAGGTGAGATCCGAGGACACTCTAGCATGTTTGAAGGCATCAGTAGGAAGAACAGTAGAGCATGAGGAATATTTGTAAGTGCTTTTTGATACTACAGAAGGCCTTGTCAAAGAGCAATGAGGGTCAAAGGGATGGTCATTCTCATGGAACTGACATAAGGGAAATAAAATTATTTTGACTTACTTCTTTGATCTTCTGATTATATTTCTATCAATCTAATGAGCTCTCCATGGCTCTTTGTAGACACTTTCTTTATAATCAAAGAACATGACTCCCTTCAGCTGGTCCTATTTTCTGTGGAGTTATTTCAGTCTTCCCTAAAGGAGTAATCTGCAACACAAAGTTAACAAAGTGATCATGTAAGAATAGATTCAAACATTTGAATCATGTTTATGTCAAGAAGAAAGAAATATGGAAAACCAAGCAATTCATAAAGGTTGTTTAACAATAGATTGCCCATTGTCTGTAAAACGATTTTCTGTTCTATTTTTTTTTTTTTTGCAATTGGCCACAACTTTTCATGTTATAGGTCATTTCTTCTTACATACCTAATTATTTTGAAATTCACTTTGCAAATATGATTTAATATATAAAACTTCAATCCTGAAAATGTGTACAACAGGGCCAGGAAGTTTAATCTCTGTAAAATGTCTCTGGGATCAATAGTACAAGTGGTCTATAGATATTCATTTAAGAGCAATATATACATGCTCATTATCTATTGCTGTAACATTTCCAAAAGAACACTCTGTAATAGTTCCAAAATAACACTTCCAAGAGATGTCGATAGATAAAAATGCCATTCATGATCAAGTAAGTTTGAGGAAGACTGGTTTCCATAAATTAAACTAGATTATTTGATGCAATACTTCATATAGCTTTTATATTTGACAGTTTGTCATGAATCTCTAAGGTAGAGGAAAGTACTCAATGATTCGCAAAATTATTGATCATACCTTCCTTTCCCTGATTTTTGGAGAAATATCTCAAGGGGTGATGATCTTCAGGATATAATTTGAGAAATGATAGAGCAGTCCTTAGGTCAATGACTGCACAGATGTATGGATTGGCTGCCTCAATTTGCAGATCTTGTTTTGTGCCCATGTGCTATCTAAGGATAGCAGCAAAAATAAAAGGTGTCAGAATAGCATTTACTTTGAAGCCATTAAAAACTCAGACACACTCTCATCTTGAAAAATTCTTTTAAATCATTTTCACTTTTCTCTTTCATTGCATTGGAGTCAGCGTATTCAATGGATTGAAGAGTATATACACATATAAACGTACATATCTGTAAACTTATATGTGACATATATAATTTTATATTATAGTTTTTTCCTCCTAGATTGGCAATTCCCTGAGGACAGAACTCAAGTTTTATTTTCCGAGTAGCTAGTACAATGCACAGCACCTAGTAGAAGCTGGATAAATTATTATTTGGTGGGTCAATAAATATTCAACACTATCCATACTTGACCAGCCACCAATAAAACTCACTTTTATTTGCATTTTTAATCTATATGGGTATATGTTATTAATTTTCCTGTGATTTCCCCATTTTAAAAGATTTTTGTCTTCCTAACAGTGTTTACTCCATAACAATGAACTCATTTTTCCCATTGTTTGCTATCGAAAGATAGAGCTTCTGATTGCAGGAATAAAGCACTGTTATCACAGTGAGTTTCTGAAATTCCTGCCTAAAGCAAAGAAACTTGATATTTTAGTTAACCTTAGCATCCATGTTTTGGGGGAAAATGATACATTTAAGGAGGTTTGAGCCTGGGAGACCCCTTTTACCATTTTTAGAAATACTTAAAGGGCACAAATAAATGTATGTGGGAAGTCACTGATATGATAATTTGGGTAAAATACCAAGCAACATAATCAGTTTAGCTAAGGGAGGGTGTTTATCAAATAAGAGATTTGAATATACTGAAACATAATAGTAAAAGAGTATAAAATGATCACATGGATTCATTATTCACTTGCTGGTCTGTGGGGTAGCTAAATGCCGATGCATTGAGACACACGGAAGATTTTGTGATTTGATTATTAAGATTCTTAAAGTATGAGTTTTAATCATAGTTTGGGATCATTTTTCTTCCCCTGGGAAAACTTCCCAGCCAGTGTAAGCAAGTCAATGAATAATGACTCAATAGCAGCTATTTTCATTGCCCGCAACTTCTCTGGAATGCATCTAATGTGCAGGGTGGGGGGTGGAGTACGTTTTGTATTCAAGGTAACAAGCCAGTTCTCCCCAGCTAATACTCAATTAACCAGGCCTGCTTTTTCTGGCTTGTAAAATAACTAGAGCTATTGTTTCTTCTGTGGAGTCATCTTCTGGTCACCTATTTCTAGTTCCAGTTGAAAGGAAACAGGGAAAGAGTGAAATGGATCTAGTCCTCATGGTCACCTATATTATCATTGTTATTTGCCATCAGCTTGGCCAAAAACTGAAGAAACTAAAGTTACAAACTAAGGGTTGATCTTATCTTTAGGATTCCCTTTTTTCCATGCTTTCCTAACCATCCGTTACTTTGCATAATTCAGAAACATCTATAAACACCTTTTAAAAACTGTATCATTACTTATTAACTCTTCTTCAAATTAGATTTAAATTAAATCCCTTTTTATGTTTAGCTTCATTTTAAACCACAATGTCCATGAAATCATGGTTTTAATAGAATAACACATGTTAAAATAAAGACATGAATATTAAAATTTAGTATGAATATTTCTCTGTAGCTATACTAAATTATTGTGCATACTATAATGAAACAAATACTATACCTTGTAAAGCCTTGTTTCACAGAGTAGGAGTGGGAGGATTCACTCCATGTTCTGAGAAATTCTAGGGTACAGGGTGGGATGGGAGGAGATCCTTTAAGAAGAGGTCAAGGGGGCTTCATTTTATCTTCAAACCAGTTTTTCCTAGTTTATAATTTGGGGTTCTATATAAGATATCATTTGGGGGAAAAAAAAAGAATTCAAATGCTAACTCCCAAATTAGATTTAACAAAAACCACTGATCATTGGTGATAAAAGTTTATTTTGTTTCGCTAAGGCTTTATATATTGAAACATCACTACTTCTGATATCACAAATCCCTCATTTCATAAATAGCTCCCATGCCATAGCCTGGAATTCAGAGCTTTCTACAAACCTCCTTCTCCAGGCTTAAAATACATGTGTCCTAAACAAACCCTCTACTTCATCCTAAATATTCTATTTATTGTCCCATGAATGTAGGCTTTTAGTTCCATCTTTCACTTGTATAATTTCCACATCTCCACCCCTCCAGCTCTTTGAAGACACCATCCCTGGGGTTGCTCAAGGCCTACTCTAGCTGAGAAGTCTGTGCTAACCACTCCTGCCCGTAGGACCCCCGGTGGACCATGGTTGCAAGACACCCTGGGCCATAGTCCTCTTTGGAGGCTTAGAGCCCTAGACATTATGCATCAAATGGGTTTATGATTCCTTTCTTTTAGGAAAAAGATAAAAACAATTCTAGGTGATTGTTGACTATTGCTCCAAAGGGAGACACACCAAGATCTGTGTGAACCATTTTCAAAAGGATAAACTTGGCAGTATGCTAATAAATGGAACTTGGCATGCCTAAGAAGTTCCTGGATAAAATCTATGTTCAAAAATTATGTTAGTTTGTTGTTAATGCTATGACTAAAGAACTAGGGGAAACCAGCTGTTAACTCTGCCTTAGATGAACTAAGGAAGTTACAACTGGATATCATACCTGCCACTCAGTCTGCCCTGAAGAGGTTATCAAAAAGGTCTACAACAGCACCACCTCCCCCACAACTTCTGTGCACACATGTTCCTTGGGGCAGACTCCTATTTGGAGGTTGAAAATTAATGATTGCCACCACCCACCAAAAAAAATAAATAAAAGATAAGGTGAGTTGATTGCCTTAATGTGAGAAGTAGCAGAGAGAGAGAGAGAGAGAGAGAGAGAGAGAGAGAGAGAGAGAGAGAGAGAGAGAGAGCACGCAAGTAAAAGATGGACTTCACAAAGCAGCATGGAATCCTTATTTGAGTATGTACTCTAGAGGCATTGGGCCTCCTGGCTTTATAGCCGGGTAACACAGGCCAGTTGGCGAACCTCTCAGTCTCTTCATTGTCAAAATGTGTACAACACAAGCTTTTACCATACAGGATGGTTGAGTGGATTAAGTGTGAGTATACACATGAAGCACTTAGAAACAAGCTGATCACATATGAGATCTCACTAAATGTTAGCTATTTGTTAACAAATTGATTGTGTCCTCCCAAAAGATATGCTCAAGCCCTAACCCTCAGCACCTATGACCTTATTTGGAAACAGGTTCTTTACAGATGTAGTTAAGATCTCAAGATGAGGGCATCCTGGACTTGAAGAGGGCCCTAAATCCAATGAATGGTGTTGCTGTAAGAGAAAGAAGAGGGAGCTTTGAGACACGGAGGGGAGGGCCACAGGAAAGCCATGTGAAGACAGAGGCAGAGATCGGGCTGATGCATCTATGAGCTCAGAATCACCAAGGATTACCAGCAGCCACCAGAAGCTAGGAGACATACATAGAACAGATTCTCTCTCAGAGCTTCCAAAAGAAATTAATCCAGCCGAAATCCTGATTTCTGTCCTTTATAGCTATGAGAGAATAAATTTCTGTTGTTTTAAGTCACCCAGATTGTGATAATATGTTACAGCAGAGGAAACTAATATACTATTCTAACTCTAAGGTGAGGAATCATGCTTTATATTTCCATTTTTTGCCTTCTCAACAGCACTTGGTAGAATTTCCAATTAATAGGCTGGGCTGTTTCACAGACTAAAGTAGAAGAGAAGAATTCGTAAGCCAGATGAGACCTTGGAACCCATCTACTCTGATGTTCTCATTTTCTGCTTAGGGTAGGTATGAAGCTTGCCCAAAGCTACAGAGCATTGGCATGGCAGCTCAGGGCCTGAAGTGCAAAGAAGGCCTCCAGGGAATCCTTTCAGGCCACTTTCCCCGGGAGAGGTGTGCCTAGTCAGGCAAGGTGAGGCCACCTGAGCAGGCTTTCTCACATGCAACTACCTGAGGTGAGCAGGTGTGTACTGCTCACCTGTTCATTTCTTGCAAGAGTAAAATTTTTGCCGAAGAAACACACAACCATGTACTTCTTACTTTTCCAATGTCATTCCAAGCAAACTAATACCCTGGTTCTAATAAAGATCAAAGAAAATCCAGTTTCTCAGGATAAACTTCTTCACATGAAACTGTTATTTGATGGCTTTCTGGTTCCTCCCCAGAGGAAGCCAGTTTCCACCCGGTGACTTTCCCATGGCTATTTTTGGC